CTTCTCCTGCCCCTACCCTCCCCTGAATCTGCTCATTCTCTCAAAATAAATAAAAGTAAAACAGCTAAAGAAAAGTGTTCTGGCTTCACTAAAGGTTATATAACAGGACACCTTAAAACTGATACGCAATAAAAATTTCCACTTGGCTTTCTAAAATTTAATATTCATAGTTCTATGAACGGTTATAATCCTTTTCCTGAAAAGGAAAGAGAGTTTATAGAGTAGGGGCACCTGGGTGACGCAGTCGGTTAAGCGTCCAACTTTGGCTCAGGTCATGATCTCACGGTTCCTGGGTTCAAGCCCCACATTGGGCTCTGTGCTGACAGCTCAGAGCCTGGAGCCTGCTTCAGATTCTGTGCCTCCCTCTCTCTCTGACCCTCCCCTGCTCACGCGGTCTCCCTCTCTCTCTCAGAAATAAATAAAACATTAAAAAAAAATTAAAGAGAATTTATAGAGTAATTAAGTGCCTAAAATAGGGCCTTGTATGTAGTAGACATTCAGCAAATACATTGAAAGAATGTATGATTGACATTTCAGAGTCAAACAGCTATCAAGTAGTGGAGCAGGGATTCAAATCTGGCTCTGTGACTCTTGAGCAATTTAATGCTATAAATATTTTTTCTTGCCAATTTACCCTGACCCAGGACTATGGAAGAATTGTAGAACGACACTAAAATTATGTAAAGTAGTCTGCATCAATGCTGATCCTAACAAACCTTTTGCCAAATTATTGCACAAGTCTCCCAGTCAAGATCAAGAAACATATCTAAGGAATTGCATAAAGACAAGCACAAAGTATTAGACATGTGTAGATTCATATGTAAAGATAAAGGAGGATCTATATAATAATCAAGACTTCAGGAATTCTGAGCTTCTTAGCCTGTCATTTGAAACCTCCATAATGGTTGTCTTTAATTTTATGAAATATTCGTTTTTACAAATCCTTCTTCACACCCCCTTATACTTCTTCCTAATTGCTTTCTATACCTTTCTGTATATACTCCAAGCTCCATTTCTGCTCAAACTAGCCTATAATCACCCTCCATATCTACTTGTCAAATTATTATCCATTCTTCTTCATATTACTTAAAAGTACTGTCTCCTTGCTTCCCAGTCCTCACATTTGTTTTAAATTCTGTGAATGGTCTGTCTTGACTATAACCAATAATAAGGGAGCACCTGGATGGCTCCGTCGGTTGAGCTTCCAGCTCTTGATTTCCACTCAGGTTATGGTCTCACAGTGGTGAGATTGAGCCTCACATTGGGCTCCACTCTAAGCATGGAGCCTGCCTGAGATATAATCTCTCTCTCTCTCCCCCTCTCCCTCCCTCCCTCCCTCTTCCCAGTCATACTCTATCTCTCTAAATGACTGAATAAATGAATGAATGAATGAATGAAAATAATAGGAATCAAATAATTATAGAAGGAATGGATTAATTGTGAACCCCTAGCAGGCAGGAATCTTAATCATTTTTGTATCCCCAAAGCAGCCTAGCCATTTGGGAGATAGGATACTGATGTGTAAAGAACATAGAATTAAATATAATTTAGAAACTGGGTTTCATCTTTTGTAGCTGCATAATGTTGGGCAATTACTTAACCTTTCTGAACCACAATTTTGTGAATAAAATGGCACTTCACAGATAGTCTCAAAAATGACAGTAGTTCTTTATATGCAGTTTAGAATATGCAGAACTAACTATTCCTTAAATGTTTATAGGATTCAGTTGAATCACCGTTTATTATGCTAGTTGCCAACAGAAATACTGATGAATAATATATTTATCCTTAAAAGGCTTGTAGTCTTGAATTGAGGACTTCAACATATGAAACAAATCAAACTGTACAAAATATGCTGTAATTATTAAATACAGTATATGATGAAAGAATTGGGAGAAGAGGAGGCTATTATAAATACAAATGGTGCATCGTAAGGTGGACTCAAAGCTGCTCTATTGGTAGGGTGGTTGTGAAAGAGGATGAGAATAACATGAACAGAGATTGAATTGAGTATGATGTGATGTTTTTGACATGAGAAGTTATCTAATCTCTAGAGCAAAAACCATATTTTGGAGAATAGTTATGAAGTCATTCTACCTGTGAAAGGCCTTGAACTCCAAATAGGCTTTCCATTACTTGCCATTTTTGACCCCAAATTCATTTAGCATACAGATATGGAACAATTAACCCTGCCTCTGTTTGAGCCACATTACACTCCTTTCACACACCCTTCACTGTGGTCATAATGAGGTTTTTCCTGAATGTTGTCCATTTTCTGACCTCATTGCACTTAATGTCCCAGCATCAGTTAGTGTGATTGCTTATGCCCTTCCTAATTCAAACAGTTAATTGTTTTTACTCCCTTATAGTAGACTTTCTTGGTCTTTCTCTTATCTCACGGACAACTTAATCAATCTCCTTTACTCTGACTCCTCCTCCTCTGCTTGAATTCAGATGATTGGAATGCCCAGTGCTCCATCCAGGCCTCTCTTTTTCTAAGCAACCTATTTCTTTTGCCCACAACATCTAAATACTATCTATATGCTGTCAACTATCCTGCTCTGAGTTGTCTTCCTTGACCTCTTTACAACTGTACATGATAATCTCTTTTTGGATGTCTAATAGGCGTCTTAAACTTAACATATCCAAAACTTCATTCTCAGTTTCCCCACCCGACCCGTTCTTACCCGTTTTCCCTGTTAAATCCAATTCTATGCTTCCATTTGCTTAGACCAGAAATTTGAGGTTATGTTTTCCTCACATTCCATAAGTAATTTGTCTGCCTTCTACCTCTGAAAGATATCTGACCCTGACAACTGTTTATCATCTTTGCCTCTACTGCCCTACTCCAAGTCACTATCACTTCTTGCTAGGGCTAGCCTCCTAACTCTTCTAGCTCTCCCTGCCTTAGTGTTTCCTCACTGTAGCCTGAACAGCCAGAATAATATTGTATACATGTAAATGTAAGTCAGCTCTTAACTATTTCCCTGTGTAAAACCTCCAGTGGTTTTCCCATGCAATTACTATAAATATCAAGTTCTTTATTTTGGTCTGCAAGGACCTACATGATCAGACTACTGCTATCTCTTTCTTATCATACCAGCTTCAACTCAAATGGCACTTCCTCAGAGATGTCTTCCTCAACTATTCTGTTGAAAATAATTCCCTTCATGCTGTCCCCCGGTTACCTTTTTAATTGTAATCCTGTTTTATTTATTTCATGGCAGTTAGTATTCTCTAAAATTGCTTACTTATTTGTTTGATTATTGTTTTGTCTCCTTTACTGGAATGTAAGTTTCATGAAAGCAGGGATCATGTTTTTCTTGTTCACTGCTGTATCCCTAGCAGCTAGAACAATGTCATAAACATAGGTAGGTGCTCAATAAATATTTGTTAACTGAGTGAATGGGCTTACTATGTTCTTCCACTTTTTATTTCCTTCTCTAAAAAATGCTGCCCTTCTCTCTTCCCCAGATGAAGCAAAAATTTCATGCTTTCCAAATGATAAACACAAAGGTCCGACTTATCCTGCATATTTCAACTTAATATTTTTCTTCTCCTCTGAAGCTTTCCTTAACCATTTTCCTCTTTCACAGAGACAGAATTGAGAACTTCCTTCTCTGTTTTCATTATATATTTTTTCAATTTCTCAATTGTACCTATTACATCATACTCTGGCTAGTTATGTATTTGTCTACCTTCTTAGATTGTGAAGATTTTTATGGACAGGACCTGTGTATTATTTGGGTTGGTTTTCTTAGCACATGGAATAATGTAAGGCATTGAGTTAATGTTGATAAATACATTAATCAAAATCTTAGTACTTGTAGTTTTCCAGAAAGCAACACTGCTTTGTGAGATACAAAGATGAGTAAGACTCTTGTCTTCTGGAAACTGACAGTTTATTCATTAATCAATAAATATAGTGTGCCAGGCATTATGCTTAAGTGCTAAGGATAGTGTTACAAAGGTTCCTGCCTAAAGAAACTCTATTTTAGTATCATTTCCTTTGATTTTGATCAGTAATATTTTATGCTATATATTGGTGTTTCCTAGGTATTATTAGTCTGTAGTTAACCCACGAACTCTGTTAGACAGAGATTAACTGCCTAATCCTAATCTTCTGTTGCATGTATTATTATCACATAAATAGTTACACATTGAAGAATAATAAATGCCAGAACTGTGTAGCGTACCCAAATTGTCTTCCCACCTCCACAAGTCTGGCACAATTATACTTGAGGCTGCCAGTATAGATTATTCATACATAATGGTGACAGATTTTTATTTTCTGTGTTGACAGTGCTTCTTAAAATTGTCATAAAGAAATAGAACCATGACTTATATTTCATATGTGGTTAATTTCATTTACTCTTCATAGCTCTGATACATTGCTAACATTTTGGTTAATATTGCTCTGAATTCTTCCAGTTTCTAAATTCTGTATATTTCTGAGTCCTGAGTGAAAGCACAGATATTTTGATGGAATCTGGGGGTAGCAATGAAAATTCTTCAGATCTCAGTCAATATCTTCTGAATTTTGACTGAAACCATATTTCTATTCTTACAATATTCATGAGTACAAACAATATTTTACATTTCTGTTCTTTTAAAACAGCTATTTCACTTGGATATGAACCAGAGCATTTGAGTATACATCTTAGTAGCATATTTGGAATTTGATATAATTGAAAAATTTGGTTCTCTTGGAGGAAATACATATGCAGACAATAGCCTATGACTTCTAGAAAATTCTTATGTATGCAGAGTGTTTAGAATTGAAGTTTAAAAACACCTTGGTAGAGAAGGAGTTAACAAGTTAGCTCCCTTGGTTGTTCTCAGCATGCTCTCTTGCCTTTAGGAGCTGAAAAGATGATAACATTGGGCCCGGACATGCCTGTGTGGAGGTTATGGTACTCCTGGGGTTTTTGCAGCTAGCTGTAAAGCAAGCTAGAACATGTTCATCTCAGAGTTCCTTGTTTTTCTTTCAACCCTTTCAGTGCCCTGCAGGAGTCATTAAATCAAAACTTCATGCTGATCATCACCCACCGAGAAGTCCAGCGGGAGTACAACCTGAACTTCTCAGGAAGCAGTACCATTCAAGAGGTGAGTTATGTCTCACAGCTAAGGAATAAAGGTAGCTCATTATAGCTAATGTTGACCCTGTTAAAGAGGGCTTATCTGTTCTAGTTGGAAACTCTCTTTATGTTTCATTATTGGGTTCTTAATTTTAATTAGCTGGAGCATCAATGATTACTGTAGATATATTAAATGACTTGACCTAGAAAGATAGATGTTATAAATGATAGCTCTTGATAACTCTTAAAATAGTCAACTCAAAACCTTGCTTAAAAACAACTGTTATGTAATGTATTTTATGGTTTTGTAGTAATGATTCAAAATATTAATTTGGAAATTGTGGGCAGCATGTATTTTTGAACATGCTTATTATAATTTATTTGAAAGGCTGCTTTCAAATATATTATTTACAATGTGCCTTTTTCCAAAAGGAATTTGAGAAAGCTTTTCTTAACTAGCTCAGTCCCAACATTGGGTAGTATTAGTGAGATGCTGTTGGAGACTGTCAGTCATTTAGCTCAGAATATCTGAGAAGAGTCTATTTATAGTGTCAATATTTTCTTCATCGTGGCCAACCAGGGGCCACTGTTTCAAAAAAGAACCGCCCCCAAGAGAGAAAAGGTACCTTCTTGCCTGTGGCCCCACCCACTTAAAAGCCAGTAATTTATTTCCATGGGGGAAAGAATATTCAAGGGTTTGACAGGACTTGTGTTTAGAAACATTGCAATAACGGTTATGACGCATTACTTCTTGTTGTTAAGGCAACAATCATTTGTCTACTAATATTTTTATAAAGAGAATTAATTATGTTTAATCTTGGATTATTTCATCATTTTTTCTTGGACTGCATTGGTTAAAATAATTGCTAATTTTGTAATGAAAAAATGAGTTGTTTTCACCTAGTCACTTTCAGACCTATATGAATTGTTTTAGCAGTGGTTAGACTATTAATGGCTTCCTTTTTTGATGTTTTTTCAATGAATTTCAACTTCCGAATTTGCCATAAATAAATCACTGTTTGAAGTTAATTTTCTCTGTTTATCACTTGAATAGTTTGTTGACTAGTAAATTTTTCTTCAACCATACTTTGAATCATAAGCTTTAATTTGATTTTTCCCCCACGGTTTTAAACATATTAATTGCCATTTCATTCTTAACCTCTATAATGGGTGTTCTAGTTTCTAAATGGAAATTTTTAATTCCTTGGAGAACCATTGTTGCTTTTACATTAGAAATAATGTTTAACTATGATTCTATCGCAGAATTCTGGTAACTTTATGGTAGTAAAATTTAAGTTATATATTGGATGTAATTAAATAAGGAAATTTAGTTTCATACAAGTAACTCCATTTTAATCAAGAAAATAAAAAATAATATGAAGTAAATTTCATTCTTTTGTTGATTTACTTTTTTAAATTGAAGGCTAGTATAATGCATGATGGGTATAAATACACTGCTTTATTTTCCTTTCTGATTGCAATTTTTATATCCAAAATTTTTACTTTTTTAAAAACATTTCTTCTGTACTTTGAGTGTGTTTCAGTTGTCTCCCACAAGAGGGCAGAAAGGACTATTAAACTGATAGTCGAAAAATGCTATTCCGTGTTTTCAAATTAGCTTCTCTTATATTAACAAAAAGGAGCATAATGGCCAAGTTATTGTTTGATTTACAGATAATTGGCATATTGCAAGGAGGAGACTTAATTTCACCCTTTTAAATTAAACAGGGAGATTTAAAAAGACATAAAATATTCATTAATGTTCGGTGATTATAAAGTAGTGGCATATATTTATTTTGCCTTTATTACTGTTTCGATGGGAAAATACTGCAAATATTTCCGAAATCGAGTTGGCCATACTGACAAGTTGAAATGTTTAAGCAGCGTTAATGCAATCTGCTCACACCTGATATCCTATGCAGAATGATTCAAAATGACTACATCAATTATTAAAAGAAATATTTTAAATTCTGTAAATGTGCCATTGTGCGCCACAGTTGGCTGAAACTGTTCTCTATGGCCTGCTATTTAGATTATCAAATATATTTTAAACCTCAAGGACTTGAAAACAGTAAACCTTTTCATACCATTTTCTAAATGAAAAATGTCCCAGAAATATTTTTGCAAAGACAGTTATTCTTACGTATTTCTTTCTAAGAGTTTGGTTTCCTTTTTTTCTCTTTTTTCTTTTTGTTTTTTTGAGGTTTATTTAAAATAAGATTTTGAAATGCTAGGTACCAGGACAAAATAAATGCAGCTTCTAGTATCAGTTACTTTTTATGAGCAGACAGGTACATGTAGGCTCTTTTATTCCATACAACTTAGAAAATGAATATGGATTACACTCTATAGGCCTGGGATCACAGTCGGTAGGTCTAGTCCTAAGACTTTTCTTCTTCAACTTGTGGAATACTCGGGGGGCAGGGAGATAGTCTACGAAGAATAGATGCTTTTATGCTGCAGCCATGCAACCCAGAGTGACACTTAAATATGTGGCTTTTTTGTTGTATGATTAAAAGTCAGTTTGCAACACAATAAAAATATAATGTCAGTATAATTTTGTAGTATTATAAATGTTAGAATTTTTGCTATTAATGTGGAAGTTTAGTGATGCCATGTATCCTAAATTATAAATTAATTTCTGTCATCAGTTTCAGAAATCTCTTTTCAATGTTGTTTAATCCTTCCAAGAGTGAATTTTGACTAATATGTGAGAAAATGAAGAAATAAACACTTGATTTTTTTTCCCAGGGTAGGAGTATTTTATTTTTGTTATAGGTCAGGGGAAAAAGCCCATTTTTTGATATTTATAAATTTTGAAAGCCTTATACATATAAAAGAAAGCTTTTGTGATATTTTTGTCCCAGAGAGAAATTTCTGTTAAATGAAATAGGGTTGAAAAAGGCACTATGACTTCAACTTTTAATTAGACAAAATACACTTTTTAAAATACTGAATTAGAAAATAGAACTTAGATGCAGTTTGAATTTCAGATAAACTCTTCAGTGACCATATGTTCATGCAACTTAGTGATGATAAACCGATAGTTGTGCAAGTGTTTGTTCATTCTGGCTCTGTGGTCTCTTGCCTCACAATGCATGACTTCTGACCTTCGGGTGCTCTAGATTTTAATTTAAGCTAGTTAGATATTGAGGTTTTCTTAAAATCTCTTTACAAATCATTTCATTTACAGTATCCTTCTACTTGAAAAGGCATTGATAGTATAAAAAGGTCAGACTGGAAAGTTGGAAGTAGTTGGAAGCATAAAAATCCTTTCTCTTTTTTCCATTTAAGAAATTATCAGATAATATGACAGTAGCTTTGTGACCATCTTTCTTTCCACCTTCTTGGGTCCTGAAGTAGCTACTTGTCACACTTTAAAACAGTGAATTTCTTTGAACATTTAAACAAGCTTACTTTATTTTAATGCATTTTCTTCACTGAGAATTCGGATTTTTAAGGAGTTCATTATATTGATTATAGTAATACTGCTGTCTAATACTATTAAAATCTGTGATTACAAATGCATTTGGGATTGGTTAAATTAAGAGAAAAAGATCAATTTGCCTACTACAAATCCTAAAGCCAGGTGTGGAAAAGGATTTGAAGCCCCTGAAATCAAGCCAACTTTTCTTGGAAACTAATTCTTTGTTGTCCATATTACTATTGCAAAAGCTTCTATTAGGCAAACTATCCACTTTTCTTTGCAGATGTCATACAAATCTAAGGAATACATACATGACCCAGAATAACAATGATAAGGAACCTAAGCATTTTTGGTATGGAATCATGGAATGTTACTTATCTGTTATAGCAAGAAGCATGATGAATAGCTTTTAGAATTATTTAAATCCTCTTCCAAGTTTCACTTTACCCTAGAATTCTCACTGTTCTTATAATGTTGATAGTTCTTAAGGGGAATGAAAAGGGAAAAATTGACAACCTATAAAGATGTATCTTAGATAGAATAGTAAAACATTTCACTACTAATACTAGTGATTGTCAAATGAAGCCAATAGTTTGAATTAGCAATGAGAAATGAACTAAAAACATAAATCATACCAGTCCTTAAAAATAATCTTGACTGAATAAATAATTGTGAAATCATGAGGCTAGTTCTGATTCTGCAGATTTGAAACTTGTGTTGGGTTTTGTGTCTATTTTCCTACTTGCTACTTTCTCAACTTGCTTGACTAGCATGTATTTCAAACTATTCTGCTCTGATGCTGGAGATCATTAACAGGAATTAAATGTAGTTTTTTTTACAGATTGTACTAATAAGCAATATTCTGGTACTAGGTTGACTATAACTGTTTAACATGTGCTTTCTGTAAACATTTTAAGTATAGGTGTTTTTGTTTGTTTGTTTGTTTTCCAGTATAGAGAGGGCGGGGGTGATGGCACAGAACTGAAGGGTAGAGTAGCTGAGAATGTGCATATGCACGAGAGTAAATTAAATTGTGTGCTTGTTTAATTAAAAGTTTAAGTGATTTATAAATTTACTTCAAAAAATGGCATATATAAACTCAATTAGAATGAACCTATTTTAGTTAGCACATATCGTAGTTTCATTTTTTTAAAATTTGAAATCACAGATGACATCTTAGCAAGAATGAAAGAGATATAATTTCTTAAGCAACTGGGCAATGAATTCAAGCTTTTATTCAGCTTTCAGAAAAGGAGATTATGAGTTTCTTTTAAATATGCATGTATATTATTAGTTTCAAATTGCATGTTATAATCTGTTGAAGTCATACCACTTGAAGAGAACAAATTGCTAATGATCATTTATAAATATTGAGGTTACCTGTGATTCTTAATAAATCATCCCCTTAGGAAATAAGTTTAAGTAATATTTACAATGCAGCCATTTGAAACTGACAAGTCTTTTTCTCTCTTCTCTCTCCAAAAACATTTTAGAATAATCTCTATGGGAAAAAATTTTTTTTGGCCCATTAAGTATTTCTTCACCTACTTTCAAGAGGATAGAAACAATGAAATTTTGTTAAGATTTAAGGACAGTGCTTT